TCTAGGAAGATATATGAAATGGGTTCCGACGGATGTAGATGTGGAAAACCAAGTGACGGGCCGGATTTAGACCCGGTAATGGAGGCACCGGACCAATTTGTAGAAGACTACATATCAAATCTCTCCACAATTCCGATGGACCTGTCCAAACTACTATGTGGGGAGGTGCACGTTCTCAATGTTGGAACCCGTGACGCTGAGGCGACGGACGTTTTCCGAATCCACCAATTCCTTGGTGATGGCATGTCTCTGATGTCACTGCTCCTCGCTTGCTGTCGAAAGTCCTACGACAGCTACATCCTCCTCTTCCAATGGTGTATTGTGGTTACTCTTGTCTCTTTGGATGGTGTTGAGGTTAATTTGGTTACCATGGTGGATTTATGGTTGTTTACGGTAACATTATTTTTCTTGAAAGATACGGACACTCCTCTCAAAGGTGCGGCCGGCGTAGGGCAGAATCCGAAGCAGTTTGGTAACTAACCGGAAGATCAGTTTGGATGACATAAAGCTAGTGAAAAACGCCATGAACGCGGTACATATTTTTTCAATCTAAGATCAATTACGCTTCTAATTTTGAATAAATGAATTCAGGAGCTTAAATGGGGTTTTGTTTTCTCTGTTTGCTAGACTATCAATGATGTTGTGTTGGGAGTTGAAGAAGCTGGTCTTTCTCGATATCTAAATCAAAAATATGCTGAGTTTCCATCAAATTAACAAAGAAGTGTTTGCAACCCATTTTATGAAAACCATAAACACCTCAGCTAGTTTATTGTTGGCCTCATGTAGATTTCACTAATCATGAGATTAAGGCATTTGCAGTTTATGCAAGATAAATCACAAAATTAAGATTGCAAAAAGTGTTAAATAATGATGAGCAGTTGCTCATAGTTTGAAACCTAGAAGGCATAAGAGGTGCGTAGGCTGCTTAGATGGTTTCTTTTTTCAATAAGTGTTTTTTTGATATATAATATTAAGAAAATAGAAAAAAAAATGAAATAAATTTAAAAATTACAAAAAAAAAGAGAAAAATTAAACTTTTTTCTATCCATTATCATTATAAATTTACTTACTTTATTTTATTTACAAATAATTTTATATATATGAATTATGTAATCAAAAATTTTTTACAGAAGAGAATCTTTTTGTACATTTGTCATTAAATACACATTTTAACAAAAACACAATAACAAAACAAAATTTTCAATTTTGAGAATGAAAACTCAGTTTTTCACAAAATTATAAGATTAACATACTTTGAACCTAAATTAAGAACTCAAAGATGTGCTCAAATTTTGGAAACAAAGTAATTTGGAGGTAGAGTATTATAAAGGACTAGAGCCTTGCAATTAGAGCACGGTGGACTTCACCATAGGTAAAAAAAAGAAAGACAAAACAAGGAAAAAAAGAAACTAAATTAGTATTTGAGTGTTATTTTATGTTTATATGCATAGATGAATCGAAGTGGATTTGAGTTTAGAAATGGAAAATGAAGGATCTCAAAGAACGGGAAGAAGACACAGTGAAAGCCTGGGAGCGAGCAATAGGTATAAATAGAAATTTAGGGTATTTTTTTAATAATATTTTTATTGTGATGGAAACGGCATTGTTTTATTAGTTCGGAACCAAAAAAAATTGTCCAGGTGCTCTTAGGTGTGCTTTAGGTGCAATTAAGCGCACCTAATTGCGCCAGGGCCTGCTCAATGGAGATGGGCAGTTCAAACCACACAGACCTTCCTACTAGAGGTGGATGCGATGCGAAAAGACATTGCACAGCAACTAGCAGCGCCTAGGTCCGCTTTTTTACAACAATGCACAAGGTAATATGTTCTTAATTAGGTCACGTTGGCATCTCTCCGAAAAGAACCATTTGCTTTGTAGCAAATGAGGAGAAATGCACGAAATTGAAACAGAAATGGAACAATCTTCCTGGGAAAATTCGAGTCAGGGCGACCATTATTCCTGTTAACATAAGACCAAATACAGGAATTCAGGTGAAAAACAAACATCGTGCTATGCATGTATGTTAGAGATTTGATCTGAATTCGTAAGGACAATCTAATACTTTGCCATTAGGCTTTGGCTGATATGATGAGCAAGAAGGTCGAAGGAGAGGTGGAGGAATCAGATTGGATTCATCTGCGTTCCCTTCACCATTGCTTTAAAGAAAGATCCCCTGGATTACTTTCGTGGGGCTAAAGCTACCATAGATAGGAAAAAGCTCTCCATGGAAGCCATATGCATATTCCTCGCAAACTATTAGTTATTAAGCTATGGAGCTAAGGTACAAACATGTCCCATCTCCCTTTCTTTTCTCTTGATGTATTTTGTTCACCAAAATGGTTTTTTAGTGGAGAATGCATTCATTTTAAATTGTAAAAGTATTTAAATAAGGTTCATTAAGAGTATGTAAGTATTTTTATAATTTAGATTATACTTTTTTTATGCAATTTAAATTGAAAAATACTATTCTCTTTTGTTAATTTATGAACACTGATTCATATATTGATTCAAACTACATTTTAAATTCAAAAGACTAATATACAAGATTATGAGTTTCAACATATATATATATATATATATATTCTATTTTTTAGATTGCATTTTTCTTATTATAGGATTTATCACACTTACATGTAAACCTTTCAATTGCAGGCATATGCTGCTTTAGCACATTCATTTCTTTTTAACACTACATTGTATTTTTTAGATTGCATTTTTCCTATTATAGGATTTGTCATACTTACATGTAAACCTCTTAATTGCACGCATCTGCTGCTTTAGCACATTCCTTTCTTTTTAACACTACATTGTCCTTCTCCAACGTTGTAGGCCCTGTTGATGAAATTAGCTTCTGTGGCCATCCAATGGCTTTCCTTTGCTCCCTCTGTTTG